AATTCTAAAAACACTTTGTTAATGTTACTTAACTCTCTTTGGAATACTTCAGAAATACCACCCGATTGGAAAACAGATTGTCTGATTCCTATTCTTAAACCAGGCAAATTGATAAATCATTCAGACTCCTATAGACCTATAGCATTAACATCTTGTATGAGTAAACTTTTCGAACAAATGATTAAACAAAGGTTAGAATTTTATATAGAATCAAATAAGTTATTACCTTCAAATCAGTTTGGCTTCAGGAAAGGTTTTTCAGCTACAGAGAGCTTAAATCATTTAAACCTAGATATTCATCGTGCTTTTTCTAGTAACAATATACTGGTTTCTGTCTTCTTTGATATAGTTGGTGCTTTTAACAATGTTAATCATCATATTCTAACTAATGAACTGCAAACACTAGGAATACCAGATAAGTTGATTAACTGGATTTTTAATTTCCTACATAATAGACAAGTCTATGTTAAGTACAATAATAATTTATATGGTCCACAATCTTCATATATAGGTGTATGTCAAGGGGGAATATTGAGTCCACTGTTATTTATTTTGTATATTCATAAAATTAATATTATTCTTGGTAATGAAGTCAGCAATTTACAGTTTGCTGATGATTTAGCAGTTTACTGTTCAGGCTCAAATATTCATATAGTAGAAAATAAAATAAACAAAGCTCTAAAGAAATTAAATGTTTATTTTAAATATTTACAATTAGATATTAGTTTAGATAAAACTAAAGTTGTTATATTCAGTAGATCAAGAACTTTGCATGCTAATATTAATTATAATGGTAGCATACTGCCTGTAGTAGCTGAAGCCAAGTTTCTTGGTGTAACATTAACAAAAAATCTATCTTGGAATAAGCATGTCTGTAATATATCTGATAAAGCTTCTAGAGCTTTTAATATTTTAAAATGCCTTTCCAAAACATTTTGGGGGGCTGATCCAAAGATTTTACTTATGTTATACAAATCCATAGTCCGTTCTCACTTTGAGTACAGTTACCTTTGCTTTGCTTCCAACCCCACACTCTTAAAAAAATTAGAGACAATCCAAAATAATAATTTGCGTCTAATCACTGGTGCAATGAAAACAACTCCAATAGTCTCTCTCCAAGTAGAATGCAACATTCCATCTCTGTCATTAAGATTCAAATTTCTTAAATTTAAATTCTTGCTAAAATTACATAGCTTTTCCAATAATTCACTGTTACAAAAAATTACAGATTCTCAAACCATTGCTTCTTCTTCTAATTCCATAAAATTCCCATACATTCTCCTTGATTTCTCTGCAATGAAAACTATAATTGAGCAAAATAATATTCATGTGGCAAATAATAAGTGGGCATGTTATGAAGGGACATATGACAGTAAATTTTGTAATATGACAATAGAAACAGATAAGAACTTAAAATGTAAAGAAGAAGTTTATGAACATCTTTCTCAATGGCCTTCATTTAACACAATATATACAGATGGTTCAAAAAATGACCAAGGTGTGTCATTAGGTTTTTACCATAGCGACATAAAAACTGGTTATGGATTTCGATTACCTACCATTACTAGTATATTCACTGCCGAAGCCTTGGCTATTTTGCAAGCTTTGCATTATATTAACGAAGATATATGCGCTAAACCTCATAATCAGTGGCTTATCATTAGTGACAGCATGTCAGTCTTATCAGCGTTGCAAAATCATTCATTTAGTGCCAAAACAAGCTATATTATTTACCAAATTAAAGAACTATGGACTGTTTTGTTTAATAAAGGAAAAGAAATTATATTTACTTGGATACCGGCACACAAAGGTGTGACAGGTAATGAAGAAGTAGATTACCTTGTCAAAACTGTCAATAGATTGGGTGGCGAGTCCAAAAAAATTTTCTTACCTTGGCAAGATTTAATTCCTGAAATTAGGAAAAACTTATTAAAAAATTGGGAAGAAGATTGGAAACGTACTACCAAAGATAAAGGTACTTGGTATGCAGGTATAAACAGTACTATTGGCAAAAAACCCTGGTTTATTCAGGGAAAAATATTTTTAGAGAGAAGATTTTATACTCAAATTTGTCGACTGCGATTTGGACATTGTAAATTCAATGCACATTTACACCGAATGAAGATCATTAATTCTCCGATTTGTCTTTTATGCTCTAGTAACGAAAATCAAACATTAGAACATATATTTTTTTATTGCCCGGCCTTCAATTTAAACAGAATTTTGCTCATTGCCAAGCTTCAAGAACTATATAAGATTATTCCGCCATCGCTTCAAGAACTATTCAAATGCACTGCAACTTTTAAACCAATTTACGACTTTATCATAGCAACTATCGGAGAATTATAAACATTTCAATTATGGACACATACAAGGACTTAACACAAACTTATAATTAATGAAAAGATTTGGCGATATCGCCTTGAAGAATTTTTGAATTTCATGGAAATACTACTGAAGATTAGGCTGTATGGTTTCGTACCTTTGCCTATCCACTTGTGGATAAAATATACCACTACTACTACTGTGATTAATAGTCATTATTTGTTAGTCCGTTAGAGGCTTTATTGTCATATCTAAGAATAGTAAATATTTTGAAAATAGTTCTATATACTAATACAAAGTAATAAACTCACAAATAGATATATTGTGTTAAATATGTCCTCATGAAAATAATATACAACTCTTACTTTTTGGCATTGTGGAAATTGGACTTATAATATCCAATTAATTAGAAAAAAGAAATTAAGTAAAAACATAACCGTTTAATAGTCGACGTCGCCTATTTGATCAGCGGTGATATATATAAGTTCAATATAAACCTATAAATGCCGAATTTAATCAATTTATTACCTTCAAGAATTTATGATATACTGGAGAAAACTGGTATTTGTTCCCATAGACAGATCATTATTTTGTCCATTTGGGATATACAAAAATTAACAAACCTGTGTAAAGATGACATTTTGCTGTTGAAAAATATAAGTTGTAATAATTTAGAACCTAATCCCTCTACATGTGATGCACTTTTAACTAAAAGCAATTACTGTAAAAAAGTTGCAACAGGATGTTCAACAATAGATACATTTTTGAATGGGGACTCCGTAGAGGTACTATAACAGAATTATATGGAGAGAGTGGATCTGGAAAAACACAGTTTGCCATGCAATCTGCAATCCATACATGGGAGAATGGATGTCTATTTATTTGTACAGAAGATCTGTTTCCAGTTAAGAGATATGAGCAAATTAAAAGAAGTCTACCTAACTACCAACATAGTATAAACTATGGTAAAAATATTTTTATTGAACATATAACAGAGTCTCAGGATTTACTGTCTTGTGTAAGAGTTCGCATTCCTAAACTGTTAAATGAAAACAAATTAGCATTAATTGTTATTGATTCTATAGCAGGTCCGTTCAGGTCAGAGAGATACTAATTATATACAAAGAGCAGAAAATCTGAGGGAGTTGGCTTCTCTATTAATAATGTTGGCACAAGAATACCAGTTGGCAGTCCTTTGTATAAACCAAGTCACTGCTTCATTTGATACTGCTGATGTACTGCCTTCATTAGGGCTGGCATGGTCCAATATGGTCACTACAAGATTACAATTAAAGAAAACTACTGAAGTAATGAACTTAACAAATACCACATTACATCTTAATCAAATGTCATATAATGTTTATATAAGAGAATTATCTGTAATTTTTTCTCCTGATCTACTTAATTCAACTGTTAGGTTTATAATAACAGAAAATGGGATATCCTGCCCAATAAAATAAATTAAAGCACCTACCTAGTCTCCTTTTCTTCTATGCCATTAGTTACACATTTACCTAAGTCTTAGAAATCATATAAAAATAAATATGTTTCATCAGTATGCAATAAGATAGGATCATTAATATATATATAATACATTTCATATAAGACAAGACATACATACATACATAAGAATAATAGTTATATATAGGTGATCATGCATGAATGTGTATAAAGATGTAGGAACAATTGCACGAGGCTAGAGAGTAGAGACGTTTTTATAGAATACTAGCTGTCCTGGCAAACATTGTTTTGCCTTAATATAAAATAATAAAATAGGGGTGACTACCCCTAACATTTAGGGGGATGAAAAATAGATGTAAAATTGATGTTTGCCGATTCTCAGACCTACACAATACGCTCACAAAATTTCATGAGAATCGGTCAAGCCGTTTCGGAGGAGTATGGGAACGAAAACACACGAGAATTTTATATATAAGATTATTTTTTTATATTAGTTTGTGTAATATATTTCTGACAAGCACTGCTAGTTGGCCCTAAGTCGCCCGGCAATTTAATATCAAGTTAGTAATTACTATTGCTCTGATCCATTTAGTTTACTCCCTTGGAGACTAGTTCGTTCTATCGGTCTCGACTTCGCAACCGCGATAGCTCGAAAGAGCGCTCCTAAAGTTGAAATACAGACACTAATGACCATATTGCTAGCAATGTACCATGTCAGATTGACTTCCACGGGGTTCCCCCTTGAAACCATTTGGATAAATTCTTGGTAAATTTGTCACGATAGGCTAACGGACCTGACCAGACCAGACCTCATACTCATCTTACCATCCTCCACTGCCAGCGTAAACCGTCAGCGCAGGCGGGTGTACCATACCATTATCATCCACAAAAAAAAACTACTCTCTACTGAATCAATATTATAATAGTATGTAGGTATAATGTATTCACTATCCGGTCATAATGTCCACATTTTGTGGTCCCTTCTATGTTGTTATATGCGGTTTCTACTGTACTGTAGTTTTAGCAAAATTATAGAGAATCTTTGTGCTTGTTCGGGTAGATCTCTATGGTAGTGCTCTTCCGATCTAGTTCGTTCGCGACGAACTAAGCAAATCTGATTGAGATGTCACTTTGACAAAGCAAATACGTTCATTTGTTTACATTTTTAGTAATTGGATTTCCATTTTCACTTTAATTTGTAAGCCAAACCTTAATTTATCCTACGCCCATACTGTACTAAAAAATCATTTGCAATGGCATGCAATTCATGCGCCAAACCGTTTACATTATTTCGGAACGAGGTTTGTAAATGAAACTATTTAAAGTATGAAATCGAACTTTAAATGTAAATAGTCGCTATATTTTAATCCTTATTGTTTTCAGAAAGGATGTCCCAATTGTGGCTTTGCTTTTTGTTCTAAATGTTTAGCACACAAAATGTTTGTGCAGAAACTAAATGCCGAGACCAAGGTATAAAACTATTATTTCAAAAATGCATAGTTATTTAATTATCTTGTGTAGTGATTTTTTTTTAATAATTAATGTTTTGGTTTTTATTTAGAGTGATTCACATTTGTTATTTGTACTACTATAGTAGAACACAGGAAAATATGTAGAATCTAACACTAGGTTATAGAAAAATATTGTATTATATTGAATGACTGAGATTGTTAGTTTTAACAAACTAGTCTAGAATACAATACAACAAAAAATGACAAATAGGTCTGTTAAAATGCCAGATTGCTATTATGCATAATTATTACAGGTTTGTATGAAATGTGCAAAAGCACCCAACTCAAGTAAACCAAGAAATGTGGAACCACCTGATGCATATTTCAAGTATGTGCTGTTATAATATTGTTAATTTGTTGTTATTTAATTACAAAATTACTAGCACTTTAAACTATCTTCTAGGAGAATAACACCAGGTACAAACCTGAATGACAATCCCACAGCAGGAAATTCCAAAGATCAAGAAATAGTTGAAAGATTAAATAAGTTAAAACAAGACAAGACTGAACATAATTTAAAGCCTGACGAGAAAATAGCAAAGCGACTACAGGGTCTCACCAGAGAAGTACCACCTACCACAGACCATGAACTACAGTTGCGTCTGGCAAACCTGAGGTTACCACTCAATGTTTATCAAAGGGCAAACAAGGGATATTTCAAGTCAATTCATACATAAATAATGAGTATTTATTTTATAGCAATACCATGTTAGAAGACACTAAAAAAATTATTTATAATTGTTAGAAAATATATATGGTTTTACTTTGTTGTTGTTGATTTTTTTTGTTTAATGAACAATTATTGGTTTGTAATTTCAATATTGTCAAAAATTTGTTTACTTCAGAATAGCAGAGAGGGTGACTCACTGTCTCCTTTGAGTTATAGACCATTTTATGTTATTTACTACTTCAAAATTTTATTATAAGCAGCAATTGTAATAGTTTATTATTTGAGACAAATAAAGATGGTTATTACTATTATTAATAACACAATGAATAAATAGTATACACTCTAGTCATAATATCATGCAATTAGAAATGCACCAAAAACTGATAGATCTCAAATACACTTTTAATTTTGTTTTTAGATTTCATTGCCACCTCCAGACCAAAGAACAGAACAAGAGCAAACTGATGATTTGCTAAAACAATATATAGAGCAACAAAAATTGACAGTACATATAAAGATGAATTTGATACCCTAGTGAATGAGATGGAGGTGAGATTACAGAGAGTAAAAAGTGGCAACTGTATTAAACCAAGTGGTTCTCAAGAACAACAAGCATCTAAGACTGAAGATGAAGAAGATGCAGTAAAAAAGATAGTTGAAAAAAAGTGTAAGTCTTCATATAAATACAAAAGAAATTTTGAGCATGTTTGAAATCTGAAGGGTATGCACAATTTTTTACAGGAACACATGTTTATGTAGGATCTAAAGCTATTCTTGGTTTTTAATAAAAGCGGTTTTATATGCCTATATATATATATCAGTATATTTTTTATTATTACAAATTATTCAAAAATTATTATGATTTGAATTATTACAGATGTGTTGAACTTTAGAAACTTTGAGATTTGAAGAAAGTATATGGATTTAAAATATATACTGATATTTCTAACTAACAGACCTATTGTAATTTAATAAATAAATCATACATGCTGAGGTCATCTTGTCTTTTACTTAAATTCAAAATACCAATATTCTACTGTTATATTATTTGTTCTTTAGATGAAAGCTGAAGCAGTATTGGAAGATCAGGAAGTTTCTTCTCTG